ATGCTTGTATATGACTCTTTCAGAGGCCACTTAGAAAAATCGGTTAAACAAAAGTTTTGTGAAAGTGGCATCCATCTTGTGGTAATTCTGGGTGGATTAACTAACATATGTCAACCACTCGACGTCTCAATAAATAAGCCATTCAAAGACAAATTCCGTAAAGAATGGCATACATGGATGGCAAGTGGTGGTACAGGAGAAACTGCTGCAGGAAATCTTCACCGCGCCAGTTTTAGTGATGTATGTTTATGGGTTAAACGCGACGGAAACATACCTTATTTCCCGATATACTCAGTCTATCATTCCTGGTATTTACATCATTTACTTCTCTACTAGACCTTTGCGTTCCTATTGACTCTGAGGGTTGTGAATTTGATGCGGTTGGATCACCGGTATCGTTCATCTCCGCATTTCCTTCATCTGTGATCTTGACCTGTTCACACCATATGAAACAGAAAATTTTATTGAGAGAAATTCGCGTGAACTAACCATTATCATCGTAGAATTGCATTCTATACACACCTTCTTTGATGCGGTCAAGTTGGCCGATTCTTCATTCTGTAAATACCAAGAGTGACATTAAAAAATGCTCGCATAAAATTCAGGTTTAATCAATATCCTAACCTTTATTGAAAGTGATGATTGTTTTTTCCGCTTCGTCGAGGACGTTTTCATAGGTTGGAAATCACCATCGGACTAAGTATAAAAGGAAGGGTTCCTATAAGACAATCACAATTCTGTTGATTCTCACAACTTCTAGATAAATAATTACGCATCTATACCTTTTCCAACGCTTCTTTTCTTTTGTTTTCGATTGTGGTGAAGTTTAAATTCTTACTTCGATCGAGAGCGTACTTTAACTAGAATAAAAATATTAGTGTAAATTCTATAAAACAAAGACGTTCGTATAGAAAACAGTAAGAAACCTTACATCTTCAGATTCGATCTGGAATAATTTTAGTTCATTATGCGCTTTAACATGCTGGATTTTTTCACGTAGATTTTGAGTATTCCGATCATTCCAGAACTTCACAACTTCCGGAGAACATTTTATATCCTAGAAACTCAAGTTGTTAACGGTTATTTATTACAACTCAAATTGCATCCATCTATTGCAATAATGTAACACGATGGACTGCAACGAACTCAAGAGGATTCAACACTGGATGACTCAAGAGGACACACCAGTGTGTCACAGCAATAGACTCAAGAGGACCTGCCAAAAGCCAATCGACTCAAGAGGACAATTTTGCCCATGTGCGGAACTCAAGAGGATCCAAAAAGCTACTAGGGCAGGCTTTTGGCCCATCAACTGTGCCTATCACAAGGAAAAATAATTTACCTGCCAATTATTATGAAGTTTCAGCGCCTTCTGCTTACGAATGTTGTCTTTGTCGTAAGCGATAATATTCTAGAGTAAAGACTTGAACAAACCGTGTTCTTGATTGCGGTCTCTTAAAATAAGGTTTTCAGATCTCCATTCTAAAAAATCAATGAGTGACCACTGATGTGGGTTAACCTCCTGGAAGTAATTTGGAATTTGTTTGTCGGAATATTGCTCCATGGAAAATTTTGTATACGAGTTAAGACCAAGATCGCGTGTTATCAGCCTAAGTAAATCGGTGATATCATATTATTGGTGCAACAATTAGTGCAACAAAAGATGTCGATCAGACTTGATTTATGAAGAAATCTCAAATAACCAAGATATTAATTAATAAGGATCACAAAATTTAATGTACCGTATTCTTCCGAAAGTAAGCACCCCCCGAAAATAAGCACCCCCAGTTATATATAGGACCCGTAAATAAGCACC